CCCCCCCCCGCACCGCTCGCTAACCGCGTCCCCATGTCCTTCCGCGCTGCATGAGTCGCCCTTGCAGCACAACTTTCCCCCGCCAGTGACGCACAAGTGCGGGTAAAAGTAGCGCTCAGGGTTGTGGGTTTGGCGCGGTAACCTCTGCTCAGGCAGCCGCCTGACCCCCCCGTACATCACTGTCTGACCTCACAGCCGACCCGCTGCGCACCCGCCTCATTACACAGGGATCTGCGCACACCGCTAACACTCACACTGGGTCCAAATGGTATCTGATTAGCATGCAGCTGCGGGGGGGGGGGTTTGGGCAGCCAGCTGGACAGGGAGGTCTCTCCCAATACCTGAGTAGGAGTCTGACTCCTCCCATCCATTGCTGCTCGTTTCATAAAAAAATATATATATCATTACTCCTGTTTTCCCAAATGTAGTATCTGTGACATGCAGTGTGTTTTGTAGGCGGCCATGTTAGGAAAGCTGTCATGCAAAGTGTAACCCCGCCCCCTCCCTCTGTGCCCGCCCCCCTCCCCGCCCACAGCCAATCTGCTCTCTGTGGTGGTTCTCTGTGGCCAGCGCTGTGGCATGTCACGCAGCACCGTCACCTACCTGGTGTCGCTGGCTGTGGTGGACACGCTCTTCCTGCTGCTGGGGGGGCTGGTGGCCGTGGGCTTCAGATGGGTGCTGCCCGAAGAGCGCCACCCCCTGGCCAGCACTGCCCTCTGCGGCGTGGTGAACTTCAGCGAGGGCTGGACGCTGTGCAGCTCGCAGTGGATCGTGGCCGCCTTCACGCTGGAGCGCTACCTGCTCTTCCGCGGCCGCTGCCTCGGTCGGCCCCTGCTGCCCCGCTCACGTCCACGCTGTCGCCCCTCTCGGCCAAAGGTGGCGCTGCTGCTCGTGCTGGTGTCGGTGCTGGGCTCTCAGGTGCTCAGCTTGCCCTTCTGCTGGCTGTACCGGGCCTGGCCAGGAGGGGGCGAAGCCGAGGCGGGTCCCACCTTTACCTTGATGAAGGAAAATCGCACACAGGCCACGCTGTCGTCGCAGTGCAAGGCACTGTCGGGCCCCCAGGAGCCCGCCTTCCTGTGGCTCCACGCCGTGCTGGCCGGCTTCCTGCCCATGAGTCTCACGCTCTCCTTCAGCATCCTCGTGTTCCACCATTTTCGCCGCCGCGCCCGCATCCTTGCCGCCCCCGACAACGCCGCGCCCATCAGGTCCACGGGCTCACGGATGCAGCGTTCTGGACGGATCCAAGCGACGGTCGCCCTGGTGACGGTCCTGCTTTCCCTCCCACGCTATGTCATACAGGGCCTGGGGGAGGGCCTGGGGGTGGGCCTGAGCCAGCATGCTGTCCAGTGGGTGGGCTGGGATGTGGCAGTGGGCGTGGCCACCATGATGCAGTGGATCAGCCTTGTCATCCACTTCCTGCTGTACTGCTTCCTCTCATCTGGGTTTCGCCGAGAAACGCTGGTCCTGCTGAGGTGCTTTTATCAAAGCCTGAGGAAGCCCGCCAATCTTTGGAGGCGCTGCTTCCCCTCACGGCCTCCCCAAACCCTACCCTGCCAAGTCTGGCTGGTACAGGACGTTCTCCAGCAGAGGAGGACTTCCTAGAGAAAAGCTGTCACAAGGAGACAGGCAGGGGTGTATAAATAAAGGGAGCACTAAGCAATGAACAGCACATCCAATTTATTGGGAAAATCTTGTGAGTCCCACGTACAAATTAATGCATTCTCATGTAATTCATCCTACTAACGCTCTGCCTTGGTCCATTTAGAAGACGCGTTATTCATCCACTAGGTGGAAGTATCGCGTCAATGTTAATCGAATGGCGACACAGGCGCAGGATCGCCAAGGCGCAACTGGGGGCAGCGGCGATACGGTATTAAAACGGTCCCTATAAATCAAGCTGCTTTCTTTCTGATTATGTCCGTGTTTTATGTTTCTAAAGGTATCGTAGTTACGTATTACAAGTTAATTTAATCTTCTTGAAGTCCATGGCAGGTTAAGGACTTTAAAATGTAGAGATGTTCTTTGAATAAAGAAATATACACCTATCACTGTGTGTTTAAAACCATTTTGAAGTGTTGCTTACTTAACCAATAAAACACACGATGGTATACGGTACCCTTGGTATAACCAGCCGTCCCAACTCCTGCTGCCTTACGTCCTCCAAATTAGCTTTTCATTAGGACGATGTCCCTGACTGTACTGATTTTCATATATCGTGATGGCAAACGATCTTCTCAAATCAGATCTGTGACCCGCCTGTCCAAAATTCTCCAGCATCTTACCGTGTCCTCGCCGGACGGATACTGATGACCCCAGTCCGCTTACAGAACTCCGAACTGACACTTCAGGGGCCATGGGCAGGACAGCAACGAAACATGGTTTGTTGGGCTTGTGATGATGATTGTGAAATTATGATGAATTCCTAAATTCACTGGCCAGTCGTTTGTCTATAGCTTGTCTATGCATGTCTATAAAATTCTGAAACAATCTGGTAGTCGCAGAATCCTAGACACCTAGTCTCGTAATATAACTACATATCCCGACGTGCTTGGGCCGCAATGGGAGGAAAAAAACTACGGAGTCCCGGATGCTACTGAAAGCCAGGCACGTCTGGAGAAGGTAGAACAGCGGGAGTTGGCAGATACCTTGCGAGTAGGAATTGCGGAGTAACATTGCATATCGGTTTTCTGCCTTTCTCTCCTCCTTTCCGTCCAACCCCGGGCGTTCTGGACGGTGGTGCAAGAAAGATCATTACTGATTATTCTGTGCTCCTGTGAAAAGGGCTGCAACACCACAATTACGCTCGCCCGTGTCCTCTTCGCAATTTTTTCTCTGCTTTCCTTTCTTTTTTTTCTGGTGTTGGTGTTTGTACATGGTGAATGTAAAAAAGCAGAGGCTCGCTTCCTATGTAGTGGTACACTATACAGTAGTGGTATGGTCACAGAGAAGACAGAGGAGACGGATATAACGAGAGAAAAGAGGGATAATGAAATATTCTGATCGGGAAGAATGTCCTTCCCAGACGAACTCTGATGACTAGAAAATGCTGTGTGTGAAGGGTGGTATCGTTGCCGACGGCTCCGTGACCCAGCTGAGAAAGGCAAGAGAAAACATCGAGCAGAACATCGCCGCCGCTGCAGTAGACGGCGTCGAAAGGAGCTTGAGTCCCACTCTTCCCGGTGAGTGCGCTGCGTTTTCTCACGGCGCGCTGTGTATATAACCAATATTTGCATACTTTTCAATCGGAGCCAGATGCGCGGCGTGCTGCGTTGCATTTCATCAGCTGTAGTATTTTTTTATTGAAGGCATTTTATTAACCTCGTCACTGCCATTTATATAGGATGAGACTCGTGGCGTGACACACACATGCAGTTCAACGGACACAGATGCGTATTTTAAAGGTTGGGCTAAATTTAATTATGTTAACTGTGCTGCTCATTCAAAATCTGTAGCGGTAGTTTTATTACGGCTCACTGGCAACGTGAAACCTTTGTATGTTTGTGAATTTAATACTAAAATGTCGTGATATTTAAATGTCGCATCTACATTTACAACAGTTGCCCAAGAAGGCATTCCTTTATCGTGGATTTAAATGAAATATATTCCAGAAAGTCAATTAAATATTTATTTCAATTATATAATTGCTTTAAAGGAAATATTCGCATTATCCTAGAAAACAGGTTTTACATAACGAAGTAAAGGCTATTTTATGGAGTTTGGTCATTGACAGGGGCACAATTTTATTTATTTATTTGTTTTGGAAATGTATAATTGACAATCGATCAAGCATAATAATACGACTGTTTAAGAGGTTTGTCATTGCATTTGGCGAGATGAATGAAATTGTGTACTGTACATCGTCACCGACGTGTTTCACAGGCGTGCTTGTTTGTGTATGATTTGAAAAATTCCAACAAAGAGGAAGGAGACTGTTTTTTACGCATGGCTTTCGGAAGCCCCTTTGAGACCCTGTCATCGGTGAGTGACAGGCGTCGCGGAGGGCAGTGGCCGCGAGCCGGCGAGCTAATGATGACCTCGGCAGCGCGAGACGCCGCGCTCATTGTAGTGATAATAACCCTGTTCCATCTGCGAGACAGCGGCGCGCGATTGGCGAATGTTTGTGTTGTGACAGCCTCGCTTATTCATAGCATACACCGTTGTGCGTAATAAGCGCGCCTAGCCCGCGTGCGCATGTTTCAAGTATGCAAAATTACAGCGGTATTTAAGCCCATAACAGCAATCATAATTGGTATTGGCTGCCTTGGGGATCATACTGCACTGTCACGTGCGTTGTTGTTATATGACGTTGTATTATTATTATTATTATTATTATTATTATTATTATTATTATTCAGAAACACATGGCCACAAGTCATTGACACTTTAGCTGTAGATTTGTAGCATACAGCAAAACTTCATATTTGCATTAATAATTTAACTGTCATTCTCAAGAAAAAGTTGTCAGATTTTGTTAACAAAGATTAATTACTGTGGGCATAGACTGTGTGATAAAGTGTGAGTGTGAGTGTCCACTGTGACAGTCTCCTTTGGCCAGTCTGACAGCACGTATCTCCATGGCGACCTTTATTAAAAGGAAGCCTGGCAGGCCCGAGCAGCTGGAGCAGCTGATTGGCAGAGAAGGCAGACAGATGATTGGCCGAAACAGACCTTGGCGGTGGCTGTCATGTCAGCAGGGTCTCTGTCTCTCTCCTTCTATGTCTGTCTGCTGAACACAGTGGGCTGCTGAACACACTGTGTCCCACCACTAATTCTTAGCAACCAACTACTGAACACACACTGAGATTAGGCAGAAGCTGCAGTATCTCCAGCGCATGCAGCATTGAGCCGATGCAGAGCCGCGGGCGGCAGCACCATGCTAACGCGCTCGGCAATGCGCAGCACTCAGAACCAAAGGACACGGCCACTGCTGAGCTGACACTTTTTAACCTAAACAATGTGAGCTTTGCTCCTATAGCAGCTAGGCATGCTCACCAGCACAGCTGAATAGCAGAGGAGGGCGTTCCCTGGGTTGTGAACCAGCAACCTTCAAGTTACTGCTTGGGTCCAACTGCCCTTTCCCGAACCCCAATCACTCAGAAAATACCAGGACAGGGCAGACTGTAACGCTAACAAACATGAAAATTTAGGGCACAGTGCAGTGGAATGTCACCACACAGAAAGCACAGAGTAACCGTGACACAGAATTAACATGCATAAATATATGGCACATCATAACAAATGAACACACTTAAAAAATAGTGCCAAGCACTACGAAGCACAATTATGGGCATGATGCAAATGCCAGCCAATGCTAAGACAGTAACTCCTGTCACATGGCTTGTCACTGAGATACTGAGCCACTTGATGCAGCGCCGCGTGCGAAGGGCCTCGGTGGGCCCTCTCTGGCCAGCGGTGTGGCTGATACTCTTTCCATAACCTGCCCAGCTGCCACCCCCCCGGCCCCCGAGTGGCTGATGTCATGAGTGCTTTCTGAGGGAGGAAGGGAGTGATTTGTCCCCAACACTCCAACTGGCTGTAGGACTGTCCTCTGAGGTGTCTGTCAGCCCCCAAGGTCACTGACACCGTGTGTCCCTGTGTGCCTTTGTGTTTGGGGGGGGGGTACATCAGGGAGGGAGAGGAACAGATGTGTCTAATTGTTCTTCACAAGGACATGCAACAGCCGCTGACGGTTCTTACTGCTCCTCCTGCTTTTTAACTCCTAGCCTTTTCACTCTTCTTTATTCTGCTCTGCCCCCGACACCCCCCCCCTGCACACACACGCTGCTCCTCTCCCTCCCCTGCCTCTCCGGCTGGCAGCCACAGTTTTGAAGTCGGCTGTAGAGAGAGAGGAAGCGTTCACCTCTGACCTCTGTCTGGGGAGAGGGAGGGGGTTCGGGGTGGGGGGCGGGGGAGAGGGAGCGGGGGGCAGGAGGAGGGGGAGGCTCATTAGCCATGCTGCGCTGCTGCAGGTGCTCCCTGTACCTGCGGCGGCTGTGCCGCGCGGTAACGAGTGCGGTTATAATGAGCACGCCGGCGGCCCCTGGCTTAGCCGCGGCAGAGGAGCATGCGGCTGCACACGTCACACACATGCACACATAAACACACGCCCGCCACATGCGGTCCCCCATGCGTCGAGCACACCGCCAGCACTCCCAGATGGTGGCCGCTGTGTCTGCTGTTTGTTGGGCAGTGGGGGCGGGGTTAGGGTGAAATGATCAGTACTTTCTGTTTGTCTGGAAGGTTAGGAATTGGTAGAACGGGGGGGGGATTTGATGGGACAGCTTTCGGAATTGAAAGAGTTGAACCAATGAATAGGTGTGAGATGATGGGAGTGAGAGAAAAGTGTGTGTCTTGGGGGGGGGGGTCGCTGGTCTTCTCTTTCTTAGTGTTTGTCTCTCTAGGAAAAAGCAGGACCCCCAATTAGGGGTTAATAAAGTCAGTGTGTCAGTGTCAGCAATGTGATGGAGAGAGATGACAGGTGAAAAAGAAGAGCAGTAAAAAGGAGGTAAGGAGGACAGAAAGATGAGGGAGGGAGGAAAGGAATGGTGAAGGCAGCCCGGCCCCCCACCACAAACGCAGCCCCCCAGGCCCAACAAACTGCTTCAGCTCAGCCAACCAATCAGGCGATCCTAGGGCTGGAGGCGGACCTTATTCTAGATCTAAGAATACAACCCCCCCCCCCCCGAGTTTAACAAAACAAGGATCCCATCAGCCCCCAGTAAAACTAATCAGGCAGACATAATGCGTGTTGATAAAGGCAGGGACACACCACTGCGACCGAAGCATGTCATCTGTCACATGGAGACGCCCGGAGGACGGCGCAGGATGAGCTGCACGGAGACGCCTGGAGGTCAGCATACGATGAGCTGGGCGCGTGGAAACGCCTGGGGGATGGCGAAGGATGAACTGCATGGAGACGCCCGGAGGACGGCGCAGGATGAACTGCGCAGAGATGCCCGGAGGACGGCGCAGGATGAGCTGCATGGAGACGCCCGGAGGACGGCGCAGGATGAGCTGCGCGGAGATGCCCGGAGGATGGCGCAGGATGAGCTGCATGGAGACGCCCAGAGGATGGCGCAGGATGAGCTGTGCGGCCACCCTGCGATGTGCTCAGCGTGTCCCGCATGGCACAGAAAGCCAGGCGTAAACACTGCTGTCCTCACCGCTAGTGGCATAGAACAAAGTGGAGGGGCTGGTCCGAGAGGAACCACGGAGGCTGGGAGCTGAGAAACAGCCATTTGCATTTATGATTATGCACCTTAATGTGGGGCAGGGGGCGTGTGCCGGGGGCTGTCAGAGCCGCTCTTTATAGAGCGGGCAAACATACTGCTTAGGTGTATGCTTATGTATAGGATGTGAAATGATGCTTTGATTGTCATGTGCAATGCTTCTTTTCACATATCCCATCATGCACTCCTTTGAGACGTGTGTGTATATATATATATATATGGGTGAGAGTGAAGCTTGGGGTCTGAGCACAGGGACAGGGGGGTTACGGCCCTCGCTCAAAGGCCCAACGGACGTGACTGTACTGCCGAAGACGGGATTTAAACTGGCAATCTTCCGATCAGTGGGACAGAGACCTAACCTGCTGAGCCGCATGCCTGCGTGTGTGTGTGTCTGTGTGTGTGTGTGGGGGGGGGGGGTGTTACGGTATGGCACCATCCCCCAGAGCTGCAGTAACCACCACTGTCTGTTTCTGTCTTTCATGCCCACATTCTGATGGCTTTTAATCAGCAGCGTTCCCGTTATTCTTCTTATCATTAGGGGCGATGTCACGCTCGCTGCTATCGCGGTGTTGACGTTTATTTCTTTGTAAGCGCGTGATTCTTCAAAGCCGCCGCTAAATGCCGTTCCTTTGCGGTCAGCTACGTGTTGCTGCGCGTTCTGAGTGTATGGGTCAGCCACGATCAAGGTCTCCATTCAAATGCTTCACTTGTGAGGGTGCAGAGCCGGAAAAGCCCACCTCCATTCGCCAGCCGAGTTCATGACCTGTGTCGCTTCAGAGTTTTTTCATAATGTTCCTCCTGAAGGCACATCTCACTCTTCTGTCCCATACTGTCTGCGAGATGTGTGTGACATCTAGGTGCCATAATGATTGCATTCAAAATGTGCTTATATCATCATCATCATCATCATCATCATCATAAGGAAGCTCTTAACTCCTCAGTCATTGATT